GGCTATCTGCGCTAGCCGTCCCTAGTTTAGCAGTGTAAGACTCGAGGGAAAGCAGCTAGTCATCACCACCCACCGCCAACTCTTGGGCTACTCTTTTACCAACGAATAGAGGGATTGGCCGTCACATTATAACGCCCCCACTGCTGAAAGGGCGAGCAACTTTGGTGTGACGGGGATTCGACCCCGCGATCCGCAGATTGTGAGTCGAGCGCCTTAACCACCTGGCCATGACAGGCCCTCAAATTACAGTTATTAGGTCTTTGCTCTGACAGAAGTTTTAGTTATAAAGGAAAAGGAAGTTCATGTACAAATTTAGATAACGACGAATGAAGCTGAGGGACACGATACCAACCTTATAAAGCGTGAGGCGCCCCATGCGGCAGGATAGTGATCACACTGTCCACTTATAAGTTAGGCGGTAGCAAGAAGTTTAGAGGGACTTGTCCCTTAAATAATTTATTTAACCTAACGCTCAAATTAGGTGCCTAGCTGTTGCATCAGGGGAATAAACGTCACACATATTTTGTATTTAGTTAACATATCTTAATTTTAAGTATCAGTTTGACTCATGAACTCCAAGCCCTCTGATGAAAGATCGGCACTGGGGGGGGGGGGGGAGGAACATTATAATTTTTGAGGGGTTTTGATTGTCTCAACCCCAAAATTTTCAAAACATCAACTGAATTAACCAAACACAACATGTATTTCAGTTATCGCGAGTGATAGAGAAAGAATACGTTAAACTGTCTGTGGAGTAATCAGTTGATGTACAGGGAAGTGGTAATATGTTAACTATAAGTTTAGGATAGTGTTTCTCAATTTGTTCGATACCAGGGACCGGCCCTCTGCCTCCCTAAAAGTACAACGAAAAAATCATTACGATTTATGCATGGATATTGTGCCAGTTTTTGGTTGCTTGTTTTCGTGAAATCCCGCGAACTGGCAAGGTGGTTGTGACGGACCGGTGTCGAACTGTCGACTGGTGGTTGAGAAACACTGGTTTAGAAGGTAGAGCTTACTTAACGTATCAGAGGAAAAAAAAAAAGTTAGAATTTGGAATAAGATTATTTCACATATGTGAATTTGTTGTTTTTCACGACGTAACCGAATATTATTAATTGTAAAGAAACGAATCTGTTATCCAGTTTTAGATTTTTTTCCCCTCCATACATGGACTTTTTTTTATTTTCACACACTTGGTTTATTGTCGCGTTACAATAGTAAATCTTATTTCACCTTCTCCGAAGGATAAGCTGAAAAACTTACGTGAAAATAAATAAAACTTTACCTTTTGTTAATTGCCTTCCAATGACATTTGGCCTGGCATGGGCTGGTGGTTAGGTCGATCGACTCGCAATCAGAGGTTTGTGGGTTCGAAACCCGTCACCGAACATGTTCGCTCTTTCAGTCGTAAGGGCGCTCAATCACACTATTCGTTGGTAAAAGAGTAGCCCAAGAGTTGGCTGTGGGTTGTGCCGACTAACTGCCTTCCCTCTTGTCTATCACTGCTAAATTAGGGACGGCTAACGCAGATAGCTTTGCGCGAAATTCAAATCAAACATGACTCTGTACGATCCGTCTACACAGTCGTGTAGAACAACGTGTAGGGGTCGTAATTACAGGTGCGTTCGCATGTCATGATATTATGAATCCTAGTTTGTCATCTGTCGTTCACACACGACACAACATTCACTTTCTGTCATCTGTCCTTTACACACGACACAACATTCACTTTCTGTCATCTGTCCTTTACACACGACACAACATTCACTTTCTGTTATCTGGCCTTTACACACGACACAACATTCACATTCTTTCTCAAATATACAATTTATCCTGAACGAAACGCTCAAGTTGAGGTTATAACAAAACAGTTATAACACTTTGTTTTTTATCTGTCAGTTTCTGTATCCATGTAAGCCGAATCCCAGTGGCACAGCGGTATGTCTACGGACTTACAACACTAGAAACCGGGTTTCGGTACTCGTGGTGGGCAGATCACAGATAACCCTTTGTTTGGCTTTGTGCTTAACTACAAACAAACAAATAAACCATGTAAGCTATATATAAAGCATATATACCTAAAATGGACTTTTCTGTATAGTTTCCTGGATTTCACACATCTCGAAAATGATTGCATTAATCCAAACAACCTTGAAATTGTGTGTGTATGAATTAACTAAATTAACGTAACTAAATTTTATATACTGTTGTAGTAGCTTGTTATTTTAGTGTGAGAGTTAACTCACAGATGGCGGTGTGCTAACTCTCGTATACGCAACTCGGAAAGGCCTGATTATCGATATTATCTCTCTGTATTCGTATCACTTAATGCTGTACATGTTAATACGGCTACAATATTTTATCTAGCTATTTGTCAGCAGTGTATACATCAGAATAATACCTAGGACTAATATCTGTATTCTTCACTAGCTCCTATTAATGGCCCGGCATGGCCAGGTGGTTAAGGCACTCGACTCGCAATCTGAGGGTCGCGGGTTCGAATCCCTGTCACACCAAACATGCTCGCCCTTTCAGCCGTGGGTGCGTTATAATGTGACGGTCAATCCCACTATTCGTCGGTAAAAGAGTAGCCCAAGAGTTGGCGGTGGGTGGTGATGACTAGCTGCTGTTCCTCTAGTCTTGCACTGCTAAATTAGGGACGGCTAGCGCAGATAGCCCTCGTGTAGCTTTGCGCGAAATTCAAAAACAAACAAACAAGCTCCTATTAAATAACGGAACACTCGATTCGAAGCACCACAAACGTTATACATAGTTTAAGAAATAATAGCCTATATCAACCCATCTGGGATGATAACAGGAAAATGCTTTTCAGTCAAACGTTATGAGTTTTCCTGGTATTCGTGCTTTATTTTATACCTTTTCTTATACTTTCCTCTCAGTGGCACAGCGGTATGTCTGGGACTTACAACGCTAGAATACGGGTTTCGATACCCGTGGTGGGCAGAGCACAGATAGCCCATTGTGTAACTTTGTGTTTAATTACAAACAAACAAATCTTCTTACTTTTTCGTTTCGAACGAACGTTTCACGTTTGTTCAGCTTGTTTTTCAACTTTACGGTTCTGTATGTTATATTTTTACCAAAATACGTCGAATGATGCGATTGATATAATTAACCAATAACCTCAATACACATTTGTGAAAAGCAACAAGAAGAACAAGAGCTTACCGTGTAACTAACGACAGTAAATATGTTACTCTGGTTATTTCGAATGACTTCGTGTGATTATTTTTTCACGTGTTCATACCGTTAAAAAAAACAAGGAAATATATTTCAAAAAGAAGATGAGGGACTGTTATTCACACGTCACGAATGATGTAATTAAATCACTTACGAAGTAACGACATCTTTTTTTATGATCGT